TTTCTGGGTGATTCTTGTTGCAGCATTCCTTCAAGTGTGGTCCACACCTCTTCCCTGTCTGTCTTGGGCAGGCATTTCAAGTCTTTGAAACGAGGATCCAATACTGTAGCAATCTGGAGCCATGCATTGTTGAGCTGTTCTTGACGGGATGCTAGGTCCTCCTTGAACTTGGTCTTGAATCTCACCACATATGCAGGGTCCTCATCACAGGCTTCCATCTTGAGACGCAAATGGCAGAGAGAAGGTAGTACCACAGAACAGGAGACATAGGCCTCCCCACCCAGGAGCTCAGTTACATACCTACACACACACACACACACACACACACACACACACACAGACAGTGTAATATTATAACAGAGGTTAGCAACATATACATATTATTATTATTATTATTATTATTATTATTATTATTATTATCATCATCATCATTTTTTATATACATACATGTTATTGATATTTAACTTGGTTTAATTTATTCCAGAAAATAATCACGGCAATGTTATTTGATAGGCTACAGACTGATTTACCTGCATGGCTCTAGAAGTGTCTCCAGGATCAGTTTATTCCACTCTGCTGCGGTCGGCAAAACGAGATTGTCCAGGGCTGCGATGACAGCCTCTTTATTGCTGCTCAAGCGCTTGACCATTTCCAGTGTCGAATTCCAACGTGTTGGAACATCCTGGATCAATGGCTCTTGCTTTTCCCAGGCTGACTTGTTGTGCTTGAAGCTCCGCAGCATTTGCTGGGCTGTGCTTAAAATGACTGACAACTTTGCGAGCTTTGACCAAAGCTTTCACAAAGCCGCTGTCAGCAAGACTCACGGTGACACTTCTCTGCAGCATGTGAGCGACACAGTTCATGTGTTCATAGCGTGTAAGTCGAATTGCGGCAACCATGTTGCGTGCACTGTCAGTCCCAATGCTTGTCGTTTTGCCCTCGATGTCCCACTTACGTGCAACAGACAGGAACTGTTCTTTACAAGCCTCCGCAAAATGATGCTCCTCAGTTTTTAATATAGTCAGCGCAAAAGACTTCAGTTCCCACGTGTCACTGATGTAATGTGCAGTTACTCCGACGTAGTTGTTGTTACTCACTGATGTCCAATGGTCTCCTGTCAGGGCGATATAATTTACTTGAGCCAAGACCTCTTTCCTTTTTTCTTTTTCGTTTTCATAGAGCTAGTGGATTTTCGTCATAACTGTGGCTCTTGACGGTGGCTTATAGGATGAGTCTTGAGACGCCACTTGCAAAACATACATGAAGCCTGAGTCTTCTACAATGCTAATGGGTCTACAATCCTTTGCAATCCATTTTGCTATTGTGTCGGTCAAATTATCTGAGGTTGATTTTGTTAATGGTATGCGAAAATCCAGCGTGGTCTGGCGCAAACCACTTGCTGAACTTGATGGCCCAGCAAACGCATGTTTGGCGTTGACATGGTACCTCAAGCTCGAACAGCTCCGGTGAAATTGAAACTCCTTGTTGCAAATCTTGCAAAAAACCTTGTACTTGTTAACTGTACCATCATCATTCTTTTTATATTTGAATCCGTCCATAGGCCCACCTTTCTCCATCTCGCCTTTAGCTTCCCAAGCCACTTTCCTGACAAATAATGCGTCACACTGCGCATGCGTGAATTGCGTTAAAAAAATTGACATAATTAACAACAAAAAAATAATTAACATCGTTAACGTGTTATTTTTGACAGCCCTAATATATATATATACGATCTCATTATGGTAGGGGTCATAACACAATAAATATTTGGTATAATGCTTAAAACAGTTTCGAAAAGTAATAGTTTGTAATGTTTTGTAGTCAAACTCTTGTCAACGTGTGTATTTAATGAGAAATTTATGGACACATTTATGGAATTTGCTAACTACTGCAGTGCATGATGGATACAATATTTGGAGGCTACGTAAATTTCATCATCTGCAGTTGCTGCAACTGGCATAGGCAGGCCCAGGGGGCATTTTTACCCCAGGGCCCAGTGTACAATTGTTCCGCCCCTGCACAGATACAAAAGTTTCCATAAAAACCATTGCATTCCTTTACACCAGGGGTGTCCAATCTTATCCGCAAAGGGCCGGTGTGTATGCAGGTTTTTGGGATAACCTGTAAGTCAGCTGTTCAAACCCAGGTGTGAGGACTCTTCAGCCAATCAGTCCTCTAATTAGTAATCTAATTAGGCAGTTGCAGCGAAAACCCGCATACACACCGGTCCTTTGCGGATAAGATTGGACACCCCTGCTTTACACTCACCTAAAGAATTATTAGGAACACCTGTTCAATTTCTCATTAATGCAATTATCTAATCCACTAATCACATGGCATCCAAACCATGTGTTGAAGTTAGCCCGACTATATCTTGACAGAATTGTTTTACAGCCCTCACTAACTCTAGCCCCTATTCCATGTTCTTAAAACCAGTTTCAGTGACAGAGGATCAGTCTGACAAAGGTACCTGCCTTTGACTGCTGTCTGATCCACACAGTACCTGACCCATGCAGCTCCCCCTGTAGGTGGTGGGCCCACAGCAGGGCAGGTCCTTCTTGTTTTCCTTCATGGGGGTTTTCTGAAGGTGTATGCACACTTGGTCAGGTTGCCTTGTACAGTGTCCCAACATGACTGCCCCCCTCCCCTGCTAGTCTGCACTCACATTGTGCTTAATTGTGAAGTGTTGCTCAGTGGGCTAAGCCTGTATGCCTGTAATCACACGGTCGCTGGTTCAAACCCAGCCTCAGCACGTGTGCAGCTCCTTAAGCAAGGCCCTTAACCCCCAGCTCCCTGGGCACCCCAACAGGTGGCTGCCCTTTATGGACAGCTTGCTCTATTTATTTTATGGAATATGTAATGCAGCCATATGTCTACTTTGTGCCAGAACTGTCACTGGCCAATTTGGACCAGAAGCTTTATTTAGACAACGCATGTGCAAGAATACATTAACAGTAGAATTATAATAATAATAATAATAATTAATCAACAGTTATTATAATTACTGTTATTAAAAATGTAGAATTTACTAAAAGAATTGGAGAATCTAGCTATGTGGGGAACTGACTTAATCAGCATATACCCAGGTTTCTTAACAGAGAAGAGTAGTGGGTTTTATGTTTTTGGGCTGGTGCCCCATCCTAGGTTGTTCCCTGCCTTGAGTTCATAGCCTCAGTGATAGGCTCCGGACCCCCACGACCCTGAATAGGACAAGTGGTTACATAAGACAGATGGATGGAGTTTAATCCAAACATTAGCATTGTGGAGAGACTTCATGAGGGGCCCGTGCTCAAAGGCTAAAGAAGGGGCACTCAGTACCATTAAAGCTCACCCATAAGTTCACCTTAAATACTGTGAGCAAAATGGGCAGTGCTCAGACACTCCTAGCACCCCCCTTTCTGCATGTGCCAATGTCGTCTGATTGGATGCCCCCCCAACACACATCCATGATGTTGCAAAAATTCTGAGCTTAGCATAAACGTGTTCCTCTCTCACAAAGTACAAGTCATTATCAGACAAAACCAAGGTTAGGCACCCATGAAATGATGGTAAAGTATCCATGTTTTTTTCATGTACTACTGGTCTCTGGCTTTTATGGAGTGCCTGCAATATATATTTTACTCCATTCGTGTAAATAAAATGGAAGCACACATATTTTCTGCATTAGGGCTAAATTAGGAGTAGGGCCTCCTATACCACCTTGCACCTTCACTGTATTGTTGTATTGCTGTATCGTAAGGTCACTGTTTTATTCTACACAATTGCAGAGGAAGACTAGTGTTTGGGTTTTTTGTCATACTTTAATGACAATGTTGAACTGTCACGTTTTTTTATTTTCAGTGGTTTTAAGTTATAAGTTCGGCACTTGAGGGAGGTATTTTAAACACAACTGGCATCTCCTCCACGTCTATGCAGCCCTGTGTAGGATAACTCTTTGGGAGGTGCGATGGATGAATGCTAAGTGAGCTCTTGCAAATTAAATGCACGATACCCAGTGACTTACGTTGTAGCTCCTCCAGCTGTCCACTAAGGGGTATCATCGTCTTACTGTTCTAAACCATGTCGTTCTAAACCACTAGAACTGTTTCCGGTTCTTCTAAATTTTATTCTGCACGTTGTTCATATTTCTCAGTATTTACATAAAGTTTGTTACATAATTTTGTCATGTACATTGCTTGTACGAATTTATTACATAACGTAGAGTTCACTCAGTGATTTCACATATTTTTAGTTAAGTACAGAACACATATCTGGTCCATCTCTATGAGACATTTCATCAGTAGGTAAGCATACTGTTCAGTGCCGGGTGTATGATAAACCGGCACAGGGAGAGGGTGTGCACGGAAATCAGGCAAGAAGTTCGCATGTGACAAACAGGAGGAGGGGCGGGGATGCCGCGCTCGCAAACAGCCCCGCCTTACATCGCCGCTGCCGCTTTACCCAGCATCTGTCACAGCTGTACTTCGGGGGCGACGTCGAAAGCCCGCCGTCTTTCTGGCGATCAGACGCCACATCGGAGGAAGACATGTCTGAAGTACGGAAATTTACGAAAAGGCTGAGCAAACCCGGGACAGCTGCGGAGCTCCGGCAAAGCGTATCGGAGGCGGTGCGAACATCTCTGATTGTGGTTAGTAATTATTCTCTATTAATCTTCAGCTAGCTACTGTCGACCTCGCAAGTACAAAAACAGCTACTTGTGCCATACGCCTTTTACGTAGTACGTTATCATTTTTATTTATTTATTTATTTATTTATTCCTCCGCAAACCCATCGCGAACAGTTTGTGCGGTTTTCAGTAGTATTTGTCTGTATTGGCTTGGCATGAACGCCTTGCATCATGCCGTGTCTCAATTTCCCGTGAGTCAAATGGAAGTCATGCGTTTTGAAATCTGCTTATTGAATTGCCCCACCACCGCATGAATATGGCTCCGGCGCACGGTGGCGTGCTGCCGGGTTCTGTCTGTGACATTGTGCAGAGGAGACAGCGTGAGCACTCAACACTGTCGGCGGCTCCTTTGTGTGCCCGACCATCTTGCTCTGCCAAATCCCCCTGACGGTCGACCAACCTTCTGTGCATTTTGTGAATGAAGGTGACTGTAGAGAAGTCTGCTTTTGACTAGGCTATATATCAGTACAAAAATTATTTAGATTTTCTTCTGAATATTGGAGGCTGGCCCACAAGGTGGGGTGTGGTGAATTTTTCTTTTTTTTTTGGAGTGGGGCAAGTTCCTCTTTTTGCAGTGATCTGAAATGAGAAATTGATTCATATTGGTGTTCTTCTTGTCTAAAAATTAGATAGAATTACTGTTATTTATTCCAAGATGATGAGGTTCAGACCTAATCTGATCCTCCCCACCTGGTGTTTCAGTATGCCGGTGTGTGTGTGTGTGTGTGTGTGTGTGTGT